TCAATAAATGTAATTCACCACATCAATAGACTTAAAGATAAGAACTATATGATCATCTCCATAGATGCTGAAAAAGCATTCGACAAAATACAGCATCGATTTAGGTTCAAAACACTAGAAAAATTAGGGATAACAGGAAATTACCTCAACATGGTAAAAGCTATATATGCTAAGCCTCAGGCCAGCATCATTCTAAATGGAGAAAAATTGAAGGCATTCCCTTTAAAATCTAGAACAAGACAGGGATGCCCTCTCTCACCATTTCTATTCAACATAGTTCTTGAAACACTAGCTAGAGCAATTAGACAGATGAAAAAAATTAAAGGCATAAATATAGGAAAAGAAGAACTTAAATTAGCACTATTTGCTGATGACATGATCCTATGCCTAGCAGACCCAAAAAGTTCAACAAGAAACTTCTAGAACTAGTAAATGAATTCAGCAAAGTGGCAGGATATAAAACCAATACTAATAAATCAAAGGCATTCCTGTATATCAGTGACAAATTCTCTGAAATGGAAATGAGGACAACTACTCCATTCACAATATCCTCAAAAAAAAAAAAAATAAATAAAATACCTGGGAATCAACCTAACAAAAGAGGTGAAAGATCTATACAATGAAAACTACAGAACCCTGAAGAAAGAAATAGAAGAAGACCTTAGAAGATGGAAGGATTTACCTTGCTCATGGATTGGTAGAATTAATATTATTAAGATGGCCATATTACCAAAAGCACTTTACAGATTCAATACAATTCCCATCAAAATCCCAATGACATTCCTTGCTGAAATAGAAAATGCAATCATGATACTGTTATTTTTAAGATCGACAATTCCATCTGTTTATTTTATAGATGCTAACTCTCGTCTAAAATACTACATCTTCTCATCTATTTTACTGAGCATATTAGCCTTAACCATTTTGGAGTGTAAATCTGATAATTCAATTACATGGATATCCTCTGGGATGTTTCTATTGTCTATTTTTCTCTTGAGTTTCATATAATTTATCAGGTCTCCTGATACACTAGGCAGTTTTGATTGCCTATTGAAAATTGTAAGCAAAGTATTTTAGAGGTAATTTGAAGTTCTGAATTATATTCTCTTTCCCCAGAAAGAAACAGGTAATAAAAGTAGAACCCAATCACTTAAATCAGTCTAGAATTGACATGACTTTAAAGATAGATACGAGTGTTTACAAAGGCTAGACTATTTTGGATTTATTTCTACTCCTAACATATAGCCCATTCAGTAGTTTCAACTAAAAAAATCAAGGGAAGGATTACCATTACTTCTGATGCTCTGAATGCTAACTTTTGTCTCCCTTTCCCTATGAAACTGAATGTCTATTCATCTTCTCAGCTGGAGTTTCCCCCTCAGCTTCTTAACATCTCTGTACTATTTCTGAATCAGAAATTACTTTGAAGGGGAAATAGGTGATGTTTGAGCTTCTGCTTTCTTTGAAAATCTGGCCCTTCAAATTATTACAGTTATGGCAATTCTCTAATGCCTTCTAATGTTATTTTTCATATAACTTTTATAGTTGTTTGTGGGAAAGCTAGTCTGATATAAGTAATTCCACCATAGCTGGAAATAAATATCTTCAATATTTATTAAAATTTAAAACATATATACCCTCAGACCCAGAATTTCCACTTCTACTATTTTATCCTACAGAAAAATACAACACGGACCCCAAACATATGTACAATAATGTTCACTCCAGCATTATTTGTAATAGCAAAAGACATTTAAACTCAATAAAGAATAATGTCCACTAATAAGAAATAGGTTTGATTATAGCATATCCATGTAATTGAACACAATGACTATAAACAAATGCCATGGATTTGTACGTGGTAAAATGCAAGATGAAAAAATATGTATAGTATGCACCAATTTAGGTAAAAATGGATAAACACATGCATATATATTTGCATATGCCAAAATGTTTCTGAAGAAACACATTAGAATAGAAAAGAGAGGTAACTCTGGGAAAAACACAAAACATGAGTGCTTGGAATCACTGGAAGATTCTTTATTATTTTTTTTGTCTTGAGTTTATTATTCATATAATACAAATGTTAATTTTACAATAAACACTATGAAGAAAATAAGATATACCATGAGAAATATTATAAACAATAAAGAAAAGAGAAAACTGCTACTCCAAGAAGGATTTTTTGTTGTTGTTTTTTAAGCAAAAAAGTCTCACAGTAGTGAATTATGAATTTAAACTTTAAAGATATCCTGAATTTAGCTAAAGGAGGGATAATGCTCAGAGAAGGGGAGTAGAATCATCAGTAGTTCAAAATTGATGAAACATAGGATATACGTAGTAGATTGTCATCTTACAAGCCTGATTTTCCTCAAGGATACATGAGTCAAGGGAAGGTGTTTAAACGTTTTATTTTGAGACAATGAGAAGCAACTCAAAAATTTGTAAGGAAAGTGTGATAAGATCACCTTTGCACTTCCTGTACATTGTGGTTGTGGAACTGTGGATAATGAATCAACAAAGGAAAAGACAAATAGGAGAAAAACTTAAGCTAGAATCTAGCTGCAATAACCTAGAGGGGACTCTACTGTGGTTAACAATTGAGTATAAAAGGGGGCAGATAATGAGATATTTAGAAGGCAGAATTAAAAGATTCAGGGCTTTATTTATCAACAAAGGAGCATATGAAATCATTTATTACTATTTACTTTTTTTGACTTTGACAAATGTGTAGATAATGGAGCTCTTCACTGCCAGAAAATGGCACTGATAAATTAGGATAAGTAGAACTCAGTTCTATGTTGTTGAAGTTCAGTATTTGGGACATTTAAGAGACGAAGGTGAATTTAAAACTGGTCAGAAAATCAGGTCTGGAAATAGATGAGGAACATAAATTTAATTGTTCTAAGATTCAAGTTGGCAGTTGAATTCATTGAGATATTTAAGATCATCACAGAAAGAAGGCTAGGGATGCAACCATACATATAAGAAATAGATTCTATATGAAAAGCATCCACAAGAAAATAAGTACTCAGAAAGTCTTCAGAAGTGAGTAGTATCATAGAAGGAAACAGACCATAGTTTCAAGAGGGCACATATTCTTTCAGAGGAATCTAGAAATACGGGGTCTTAAATGTGTCAGTGGTATTAAGAAACTAGAAGATGATATACTGTACTTAATCCCTGTGTCAGAATTACCTAGTGCTTGAGTAAAGGTCATCATCTTTTGTCCTTCTGAACTGAAATTTCTTGAGGTTAAATGAGTATATGATTTTTAATAATGTCACCAGTGAACTATAGTTTTAGATCTGAAAACAACTAGAATAGATTGTAAATGCTTCAAGAATAAGGATCATGATTGATTAATTCATCATGTATACTTAGTGCTGTCTGCAGCATTTGTCACCTAACAGACCCTCAATAAATGTTAAATAATTTAAATATGGGATGAATAAATAGATGAAAAGATGAACAAGTACCTGAATGAAGAACTAAAGAACTAATGCCTACCAAAATCTTGGCAAGATTATTAGAACTTATGTTCTAGTGTGGCAATGGAGGGCAATAAAGATACATAAGATAATGTGGAAAGACTGCTCTAGCTTGGCCAGCTAGGAAGAGGTTCTCTGAGGTGGCTATATTCGAGCTGTCAAATTATAAGATACTAACCTTGTGATGGTCTGAGGAAAACATGCCAGGAAGGGTAAAGTTCAAGGAGGAAAAAAAGGTAGTAAATGTGCTGAAATAATAAAGAGGTATATGTGGCAATGGCTCAGTGAACAATATGGAAACTAGTAAAAGGTAAGCCTGAAAAGACTGATAGGATGCTGATGATACAGGGTCTCACAGGTTGTGATCTCATAGGAGTTTAGTTGTTACTCTAGCTTCAAAGAGAACCCATTTAAATTTTAAACAAAGCAGTCGTATAATTTGATTTACACTTTAAAAATGTCACTCTGGCATCTGTATGAATAATGAATTACAGAGGGCAATGGTGGAAATAAGTAGACCTGTTAGGGGCTGATGTAATATGCCAGACAAGAGATGCTTATGGTGTAGAGGTAGCAGTATAGAAAGTAAGGTATGCTTGAATTTAGAATATAATCTGGAGACAGAGCAGACAAGATCATGTTCATGTGTCACATATAGGAGGGGAGAAAGAAAGACTCCAAAGAATTTTGATTTAGCCTGCAGACAATGGCATTCATTTAGTTTTGAGGCATGAGGCAAAATGTGGGAAATAAAATAGAATGCAGAGGAAAATTTGGAGGTGTCAGTTTAGGTCTGAAGTGACAGGCATCCATATTAAGATGAAGACAAAGGGAATGGTAAAGAACAATGATATAAAAGCCAAATCAAGTATGTAGGGATGTAATTTGTGGTCTCTGTAGGCATTGGAGCATAGAAGAGAAATATGAGCTAGAAAGATTTAAGAATAATCAAAATAGACTTAATAATTAAAGTCGTGTGAGTAACTGTGATCACCCAGAAAAAGCTTATAGAGTGAAAATGGAATATCTACTATGAACAACTGGCAAAAGAGATAAAGAATGACCAGAAAAAAAAGAAGGAAAACTAGAGAAATGTAGGACTTATGGCTTAAGAGACTTAGAGAAGTGTGGCATCATTTTGGTGAATAGAAACATTTCAAGGAGTGCTTGTAACTGGCAAATAAAAATTAATGTCTACTGAGTTTAATAAAACAGGATCATTATCATCTTAGAGCTGTATCCATTTAGAGGTGAAAGAATTCAGACATGAGACATCTGAGACCAGGAAGTACTGACAAAGAATATAGATAACACTCCTAGTTTTTTTTTTTTGTTTGAAGCAAAGATGATTTTCATAATTTTAAACGTTTTTTATATTCATTAGAAGTATAATTTCATAAGACATGCAATAAATATTTCTAAAATAAAAATCATTTTTATAGTCATAAGCATAGCACTTCTTTTTTCTTCCTTTATGCTTCTATATTTTGAAAAGTAGCATATTCTTACCTCTAAGAGATAAGGCTCCATCTCATCCAGCGTTTTCCCAAGATGTTTATCTGGATCTAAACCTGCCAAGAAAGATTTAAAAGTTTTTCTAGATAACTGTAGATAAAAGCTTAAAGACATATTCACCTTCCTTTTGCCCCTCTTACCTAGGAAAGCAGTGTGAATATATTTTAAGTTGCTTTTGTCTTAAAGTAAAATGTACTTTGCTAGTATTTACTTTCCTATTCTTCTTTTTGTGCTGATTTTCTTGCTCTTAAAAATAAGTTTCAGTTCATTTCAATAGCACTGCATCAATAATTAGATGCATTATTTTTATTCCTTTCTCTTTTTTGAGAAATTATAGTTAGAATGGGAAAAAGTATAATTTTAAAGATGTGAAATTTAAATTCTTGGTATTTTAATCATTGCAGTTTAGTTTACTCATGAACAACCATAAGAATTTTCTGATTTATCCTTATTTAATTTAAACTTGAAACTTTGCACTTTATGCCTGTAACTGTAGCAAGTTATGAGGCTGATGCCGGAGGATTTTAAGTTCGAGACCAGCCTGGACAACTTGGGGAAATGCTGTCTCAAAATAAAAATAAAAAGAATTGGGGATGTAGCTCAGTGGTAGAGCACCCCTGGGCTCAATAGCCATGAATGAAAGCAGAAAACAGAACAGTGGTAGAATGTTCTATCTATATAATTAATTTGCTTAATAGTATCACATGAGCACAAATAATCGTATTATTAAATAAACTGACATTTTGTTTTTATGACCACTTGTGCAACAATGTGTTTTCCAAGAAAAAGGAAAAACAACTCTAAAATCACTATTGTGCCAAGAGCATTTTCTTAGGCTACAATAAACAGATTCAACTAATATAACAGTAGAGTATGTGGGTGATGGAGCAATAATGAGAAGGGGGGAAAAACTCATACCACAAATCAACTACATAATTAAAGAATTCATTTTAGATATTTATTTCTATATGTACATTTATGGATTTAACTCCATTTAAGTAAGTTATTTTTATTTATAATTGATTAAAACATTCAGATTCTTAATTATACAAACTGATTAATAGTTTTCTTTTTTCAGTTGGATGCCTTTCTTGAGTAACATGACCTTTTTTCCTTTCTCTTTTAGTACTGGGGATTGAATCTGGGGTGCTATACCTTTGAACTAGTCCTTGTTTATTTTGAGATGGAGTGTCACTAAATTTTCCAGGCTGAACTTGAAAGTGTGCTCCTCATGCCTCAACCTCCTGAGTAGTTGGAATTTCAGGAATGCACCATCACACCCAGCAACATGACATTTCTTACAGCCAAAATTTCATAGTACCAAGGAGAAATGTAGGACTTATGGCTTCTTCTGCTATTGTGTATTATGTTAGATCATATTCAAAACAAAACAACTCAGACTGGTAGCAGTGGGTACATTATTTAAGTTAGCTTCCTTCATAGCAACCTAATTCTTGTGGTAGGCTGGGTGAACACATAAATGAACTCCTGACTATGTCCAATTACATTTCAATTCAATATATAAAATAAATAAATAAATGAAATACTTTGAAGTAACATAACATTTTATAAAAATTAACATTTTGCTACATAAGCCTTTTTTTTTTAAGTACTAAAATTGAATCTAGGGTCTCATTCATGCTAGGCAAGAGTTCTGAGCTGCATCCCTAGCCCTCACTAACTTTTCCTTAAGAAATTAAATACCACCAATGCAACAGAATTTCATAACATATCTACCACTAATCAATATGCTCTACTCTTTTCCATATGGATAATCATTCTTCTGAAGTTAGTGTAATACTTTTCAACTTTGATTTTGTAATTTTACTACAAATCTATGTCTATAAAACAGTATTTAGTATTGTTTGTGAATGTTAAAATTTTGCACAAATGATACAATTTTAAGTATTTTTTCAATTCACATTGTTAATGAGTTATGCAAATTTATTACTGTGGCTCTGGTTGATATTTTACCATTGAATTGCATTCCATTATATGGATGTATTCTTCAAGAGATGGACAGTTGGGGATTGGGTTGGTTCTGATTTCTTATTTACCATTGGTATTTTTTGTACTATGGTGAATATGCTTTAGAATAGAATTACTATGAGAGAGGAGAATAAATATTTTTATATATGCGTGTGTACACACATGTGTATCTTTCAATTCTATTAGATATTGCCAAATTTTTCCCTAAAGCAGCATTACTAATTTATACTTCCAACATCAGGGAATTATAATTCCCATTTCATATATTGCAAAAATAATTTAGTGTTGTTAAATGCTTTATTTATTAATTTTTGTGTTGTTGTGGTTTAAACTTGTGGCTTAACTCATGTTAGACAAGTACTCTATCTCTGAGATATACCAGATGTCAAATGTTTTGGCATATGTATGTATATATATTTGTATGTATATGTATCAGATATATACATACATATTGCCTCATATTTCATTGCCTATTCATTCAGATTCTCACTTCTATGAATTGTTTACCATTTGGTAATGGTAAGTTTTGTCTTTTATTTGATGATTCAAGTTCTTGATATATTCTAAACGCTAATCTTCTTTATTATGGACATTAAATACCTTCTCTAATCAGTCAACTGTCTTTATACTTTGTTTTGGTGGCAGTGTAGTGTATTTTGATAAATGGTGTTCTGCATTTTATAGTAGACAAGTGTGTATTTGTAAGTTTTTCCCTTTTGGGTTGATTGTCTATGTGCTTTACAATTTTTCTAATGGACTCATCTTTTTTTCCATAATTCTGAAGCAAAGCCATTATTAGTCTTGTGCTTATCAAATGTGTTTATATTATGAATTTGACGATGCTATTTGTATGCCATAAGTATGATGAATTTATTTGGGGGCAGAATAGTTTCTTATTGGTTGTTGTTTTATTCTTGACAGACCTTACCAGATGTTTGGCATCTAAGGGGGTATTATCAAAGTGCCAAATTTTTGTTTGTGCCTTTAGTGTTTGACTTTTCATTTTCTTAGATTTTTGTCTTACTTTACCATTTTCTTCCTTCTTATTTTTAAATGTTTGCTAAATAGCTTATTTAATTCTAGCTTCTTGATTTGAACACTTGATTTACTTATAATTACATCTTTTTTAAAAATAGGATTTAAATACCAATATTGCACATCCAAAAAATTTGAGAAATTACACTTTATTTGTCATTTAGTTTTCCATATTTCATGATTTTTATTGCTATTAAGGAATCACTCTTGTGTGAACACATATATTTTCACTACTTTTTGTTGTTTACTAATTTGATTGTATTGAGGTTAAAGACTGCAGTTGTTATGATAATAACTCTTTAAAATTTGGTTAAGTTCAATAGTTAAACCTTACAAAACAGAATTCACCAGGTCCAGACAGATTCACTGGTAATTTAACTAAACATCTAAGAAACAAATTATACCTATTCTGTATAGTCTCTTTTATAGGACAGAAGCAAAAAATATTTTCAAAAACCCATTTTAATGAGGCCAGTATTACCCTACTAGCAAAGTGAAAGCAATTACAAATAAAGAAAACTAAACACTAATATCTCTCATGAACACATGTAAAAATCTTCAACAAAATATTAGCAAATGGAACTTAAAAATATGTAGGTATATACTACGACCAAGTAGATTTATCCCTGGTATGAATGGCTAGTTAAACATCTGAAAATCAAGTAATAAAATCCATTACACCAGCAGAATAAAACAATAGTAAAAAAATCACATAATCCTATCAATAGATGTGAAAAAACATTTTACAAACTCAACATCCATTTATGATAAAAAAAAACTTTCAGTAAATGAGAAATAATGGAGAACTTCCTCATGTTATCAGAACTCTAATGATAATATCATATTCAATGGTGAGAAACTGAAGTTTTCTCATTAAGATGGGGAACAAGAAAAGGATATCCCATTTCCCTACTACTTTCAAAAAACTTATTAAGTTTTGCTAATGGAATGGAAAAGGAAATAAAATATATACGGAATAGAAAAGAAGAAAGAAAAAAAACTATATTTGTTTAAAGATGACATAATCATATATGTAGAAAATCTGAAAGAGTCAAGAAAAAATATTATAGGAATTAATAAATGATTATAGAATGATTGTAGAATACAAGGTTAATACACAAAACTCAACTGCTTTCCTACATACCAACAATAAACAAGTGGAATTTGTAACTAAAAATACAGTGTCATTTACTCTAGTATTCCCAAAATAAATTAAGGTATATATTGACCATAATATAAATAAGATCTATGTAAGGAAAACTGCAAAACTCATGAATGAAATCAAATAACTAAATAAATGAAAAGATTTTCACACTTCTGGATAGAATCAATAATATCATGTTTTCCCCACTGTATACATATATTTATAGCACTGACAAATTACCAGAATGGTTGTGGGTATGAACAAACTAATTCTAAAGTACTTATGGACGGACAAATGACCCAAGGTAGTCAACACATTAATGAACAAAGTCAGAAGTCTGATAATACTTTAAGACTTACCATGAAGTTATAGTAATTAAGACAATGTGGCATATTGGCAAAATAGAACAGAGAAATAAATCAAAAAAGTAAAACAAGGAACCCAGACACAGATCCACATAAGTATAGTCTTATGATTTTTGGCCAAGGAGCAAAAACAATATAATGGAGAAAATATAATCTTGAATAGTTCTGGAATAGGTGAAAGATTCACATACAAAAAAATGTATCCAGACAAAAAAACCTTATGTCTTTCACAAAAATTGATCCAAAGATCTGAACCCAATCATTTAACATTCAATATTATCTGTCTGGACCTATTTTTATTATCTTGGTGTCTGTATTAGTCCATTTTGCATTACTATAATGAATTGCCTGAGGCTTTGTAATTTTATCAAGAAAAGAGATTTTATTTTGGTTCACCATTCTAGAAGTTCAAGGACAAGGGACTGCATCTGGTGATGGCCTTCTGACTAAGAGTCCCAGGGTGGCATACGGCATCACATAACAAGAGATAAGGAAAAGGCAAGTGCAGTATCTTCTGGACACT